GCGATGTAACAACCATGAAACATACAACTTTGCTCTGGTTCCTAAATGCTTCCTCCCCACCCACCACCCACTATCATGATCCCAATTCTACAATGCAAGTCTGGCTAGACCAGAGGATGTACACTGTTACAGACAGGAACTGGAAATGCAGGGAATCCAGGGCGGATGATCCCTTCAGGACCAGTGGTGTGAGTGGCGATACTGGGAGAATAGAGGGAGAGTGGGTTGGAAAGGGGAAACCTATTACAAGGATCTACATGTGACCTCCTCCCTGAGGGACGGACAACAGAAAAGTGGGTGAAGGGAGACATTGGACAGGGCAAGATATGATAAAATAATAATTTATAAATTATTAAGGGTTCATGAGGGAGGGGGAGCAAGGAGGGAGGGGAAAAATGAGGAGCTGATGCCAGGGGCTTAGGTGGAGAGCAAATGTTTTGAGAATGATGAGGGCAATGAAAGTATAAATGTGCTTTACACAATTGATGTATGTATGGATTGTGATAAGAGTTGTATGAGCCCCTAATAAATGATTTAAAAAAGAAGAAAAGTAAATTGGTATAATCCTTTCAGTAAATATCTTTACAAAACATGTTAGAAGTCATCAATATTGCCAATAACTATTATAGAATAGCTACTGAAGTAGACTGGATATCTCAGTGAGAGTGTAATTGTTATTGCTTCAATGGCTTTATATTACTTTAGAGAAACAGCTTTTAATATAATAAATCAAACAGATATGGCCTGGAAGATTATACTTAATTCAAGGTTCATTTTGAGCCAAATGCACTTGCTAGTGGAATGCTGCCTTGTTGCTCAGTCAGCTTTTAAATTCTAATTTTTCTAAAGGAGTGGTTATAAAAATATTCTAGAAGAAAAATGCAAATACATAGACTGAAACTTTACTTTTTCCTGAAAGTAGCACTTTAAGACATCTTTATTGGAGCCTCAGGTTAAAGCAGATTCAACTCCTCAACTCACCATCATCAAGCCAATTCCAATTCACAGGGACCCCACAGAGAAGCAGAACTGTTCCTGGAGCGTTCTCAGCTGTCAATCTTTATGGGGACAGAGCTGGTGGTTCCAACTGGTGACATTGCAGTTACCAGCCAATGCGAAACCCACTATGCTACCAGGGCTCCTGTAAAACAGACTGCTCCTCACAACGTACCCTCCCAGAAGTAATTGTGATAGTGAAGCAAGCTCTTTATCTGATTGTAACTATTAATGCATGTTAAAAGCAAGACTCTGATGTACAAAGGTGCTTTATACAATTGATGTATGTATGGATTGTGATGAGTTGTATGAGCCCCCAATAAAATGACTTAAAAAAAAAAAAGCAAGACTCTGAATTATAATCCAAAATACAAAGACAGATAGTATAGGAAGAATCTAAAAAATATTATTCTTTAAATGCCGTTCTCCAGATGTACATGCTACTGGGTGGTGCAGTTTGCTCTCAGCTACTAATTGACAGCTACTAATTGGCAGTTTGCATCCACCCCGTGGTGTCACAGAAGAAAAGTCTGGTGATCCACTGCTCTAAGATTTCAGCCACTGAACCCTCATGAAACACTCTCTACTCTGAAACACTTGAGGTTGTCATGAGTCAGAATTAATTCCGCAGCATTCTGTGTTTTAGTTTAGAAGTATCATGGGCAGCATTAGGATCCCCAGTGGCATAGTGGGCTGCTAATTGCAAAGTCAAGAGTTCAAAACCACTAGCCGCTCCTCAGAAGAAAGACGAGGCTTTCTACTCCCATAAAGAGTCTCAGAATCCCAGAGAGACAGTTCTACCGTATCTTATATGAGTCTTTGGTTGTTATGAGTTGGGAATCAACTTGATGGCAGTGAGTTTTAGTTTGATGGGCAGCATTTAAAACTATCTGACTCACTAGGGGCCCTTTATTACCTACCCTTACCCACTGTGCTAAGTCCCAGGAGCCATTTTATGAAGTATGCTTCCTGTTTCTCCCAGGCACGAGTGGCCAAACCACTAGTGATTACACACTCCGACTGTGCCAGAGGTTCTTCACGGGGGTCTGAGGACGGAGTTGTGATTGGCAGGCAGGATCTGCCCGGCTGCCATCCTTCCTTCCTTATGGACTCTCTCCGCCCCTTAACATGCAGACTAAGATGACATGAGAAGTCATATTCTGTCTGCAAGCTGGATGATGGGAGATGGTGGGTTTGGTTTGCAAAGACAACGAGCAGTGAAGCAAACACATAGAGACAAGTAGAGATGAGAGATGGAAACCAAATAGTGCTCAAATTCCTGAGCCAAAGCATTCTCAAATTCCACTAAGCCCAACGCTTACTCATGAATAGAGACATCTTTATCTTTTTATCATACATTCTCTTTTTGTTTAAGGTAGCCTAGGTTGGTTTCTGCTACCTGCCATCAAAGACCTTTACATAATAGTTTAGGAACCCACTCACTGCCATTGAGTTAATTCTGACTCATTCCTACCCTCGGTTTCCAAAAGTACATCTTTTTTTTAAAAATCATTTTATTGGGGCTCATACAACTCATCACAATCCAAACACACATCAATTGTGTAAAGCACAATTATACATTTGTTGCCCTCATCATTCTCAAAATTCGCTTTCCGCTTGGGTTCCTGGAATTAGCTCCTCATTTTCCTTT